TTGTGGTAGGAATAGTTGTGGTAGGAAATTGCACATTGCCTATGGAATCCCACCCTGAATTCCAGTAAATCAAATAGATTACGAGTGTGGCCACTGTCCCCATCCTTCTATAGCTGCTATGCCTACTAAATATAACTCCAAGCAACCAGTTTGGATTGGGATAAGAGCCTTTATAAATAAAAGTTCCCAAGCTCTGAAGGATGTTTTAATCAATTCTAATATTTTATCTTCTAGAAGTTCCCAGTCCTGTGGCATTTTTCATAATTTAAGAAAACCTTTAATACTAGCAGTAATCACAAATCAAAATCTAAAAAGCAACACCCTTTGCAACAGCATAAAAAATATGAAACACTTAAGCATAAATCTGACAAAAAATGTTCAAGACTAGCACACTGAAAACTACAAAACACTGCTGTAAAAAGCTAAAGATCCAAAGAAGAGGGAAACACATGTGGTGTTCATGGGTCAGAAGACTCACTATTGTTAAAATATCAATTATCTCCTCATAATGATTCTTTGCTCATTTACAGATGCAATGCTATCTCAATGAAAATCCCAACAGGACGTTTTAAAAAAATTGGCATGGTAATCCTAAAATTTATATGGAAATGAAAATGACCTGTACTAGCCAAAACAACTTTGAAAAAGAACAAAGTTGGAGACCTAAGAGTACCTGATTTCAAGACCTATTTTAAGGCTACAGTCATCAAAACAGAATGGCACTGGCGTAAAGATTAACAACTGGATCAATGGAGCAGAATACGGAATGCAGAAATAATTGGACTTCTGATTTTTGACGAAGGTTCAAAGGCGATTCAGGAGCAAGAACTGCTTTGTCAACAAATAGTGCTGGAACAATTGAAGATCTGTATGAAAAAAGAAAGTACTCTAACCCATCTCTCTCATCATATATAAAAATTAACTCACAATAGATCATAATCCTAAATATAAAAGCTAAAACTACCAAACAGAGGAAAACACAGGAGAAAGTCTATGTGACCTTGAGCTAGTCAAAGATTTGTTATCTTTATCTTCTTAGACCTGCCATGAAAAGCACAATCCATAGAAAAATAAATTGGTTAACTGGACTTAAAATTTAAAACTTCTGTGTTTTCAAAGACATTGGTAAGTGAATGAAAAAAGCTAGAGTGGGGGAAAAAATCCTTGCAAATCATATATATGATAATTGACTTGTATCCAGAGTATATGAAGAACTCTCAAAACTCAGGAAGAAATAATCTAATTTTTTAAAAACATGCAAAAGTATTGAACAGACACTTTATGCAATAAGATACATAAAATGGCAAACAGGTACCTGAAAAGATGTTCAACATCATTAGGGAAACACATATTAAAACCACAGTGAGATTCCACTACTTATCATTGGAATAGCCAAAAACCTGACCATACCAAGTGTTGGTGAGCATGTGAAGAAACTAGAATTCTTATAACACTGCTGGCAGAGATATAAAATGGTATAACCAGTTTGGAAAACGGGTTGACAATTTCTTAAGTTAAACATACACTTACCATATGATCCAGCCATTTGATCCCTAGGTATCTACCCAAGAGAAATGAGAGCACATGTCCATAAAAAGAATTATACAGGAATGTTCATAGCAGCTGTAACAGGTTAATGGGTAAAAAATGGATATCCACACAATGAAAAGCTATTTGGCAATATAAAGCTGTGTATTGATACACACAACAACATGGATGAATTTCAAAATAATTATGCCAAGTGAAAGAAGCTAGACAAAAAAGAGACATACTGTATGATTCCATGTGTATAAAATTCTAAAAAATGCAAACACATAGTAACAGATAATAGATCAGGGGTTGACTGCCAATTGGGGGAGCAGGACGGGTGGGAGACTGAGATGGGAAAGGAACAAAGAAAACTTTTGGGGTGATGGATAGGTTCTTCATTTGATTGTGATAATGAGCTCACAGGCATATACACATAGGTCAAAACTTACAAAGTCGTATAGTTTATTATGTCAATTATATCCCAAAAGAGCCTTTTTAAGAAGAGAGTAAACCTTTAAGTCCACTTCACAGATTGCACCTCCGTGGGTCAGAATTAGCTCAGAACCAGTCACTGATACTACTTCTCACCCTCTCCTTCTTGGAACTTTCTTTTGCAACCATTTCCTAACTTTGCATCCTGTGGGCTCCTCTCCTACCCCATAGAGCCTTTTGGTTTTCTTCCCTGGTTCTTATCCTTCCTCCCATGTCTTAAGCGAGAACGTTCTTTAGGGTCCACAGCTGGTCTCTCTTTTATTCTCATGTACACTCCTTCCTGAGCAATCTCTCCACCTGCTCGGCCCCAGCCACCATCTGTACTCTAAGAACTCCCAATCTGCACTGCAAGACTTGGACTCTCTCCTGACCTCCAGATTTCCACAAGCTTCCCCTTTCATTACCTCCAATTTAATGAGTGCAAAATTATAAATGTTCCCCCATCCAAACGTGCTGCCCAGCCTGTGTTCAGGTCTCCCCTTCCAGCACTACCATCTCCCCAGCCACCCACGCCCGGCACAGCACAGTGGATGAGAGCACAGGTTCAGGAGTATGGTCCCGGATCTGTCACTTATTACATATGCATCTTGGGAGAGTTATTTAACCTCTCTGTGCATTTCTTCATTTGTCTAATGAGTCTCTTCCTTACAAGGTTACTCTGGAGATTAAATAAGATACACATAGAGTATTTATGAGGTGCCCGATACAGAGTAAGTGCTCAGTGATTAGTAGTATCATGGGTGACATTTACCTCTCTCTAATTATTCACCAAGGACTGTTCATGTGGTTCCTGCAGCCCCTTGTCCTCCTCTTTCCCTTCCCTCTGCTGCCCCCATCTCAGACTCATTGTATCTTGATACTATGTTGAGACAGCCTACTCTGATCTTCTCTTCAGTCCATTCTGTCAAAGGCTACCTAAATGAACCCAGGTCAGCTCATGAACTTCCATGATCAAAGACCTTCCATCGGTCCCCCTTGTCCAAACAGTGCAGTTCTTAGCAGGACTTTCAAGAGTCTATGCCTTGATGCTACCCCATTTTTCCACCTTCATATCTCTGGTCTGAACCCCATATCATTTGGGTACTCTTATTTCTTCCCTATCCTCCATAAACCCTGCCCTGACCTACTGTCATGTATTTGTCTAAGGAGGTCATTCCACAGCTCCCCATCCCCAGGCTTAGCTCAAATGCTATCCTTTTAATGAACTTGACCCAATTCCCTAACTGGAATCAGTCATTCTCTCCTCAGTGCTTACATTGCACTTTATAGGTCAAATTAGGACCTTACATTATTGTCATTTATATATTTGCCTGTTACTCTTACTTACCTTTGCTAGGCATTCAGTGAAGGCCTGAATGCTGAATGGAATAAAATGGAAAGAAAGAACATGACAAACAGTCTGCCTAAAAGCTGCCTAACATCTCCCTGGTAATGTCACCTGCTCATGGAGTTTCTCTGTAGACTGACACTTTACAAATTAGCATCCTGTTCAAGCTGAAAGAGCACCAGAGAGCCATCTCATTGGAAAGCACTCAAGAGAAATAGCAACAACACCACTCAAGGAGTGTGGAGGAGGAGAAGAGAAGCAAATAAGGTACGACAGATGCTGACTTAATCTTGGCTATTCTAAATGGCTCTTTCTGCAATTAAGATGTCTCTCTTCTGAGAGGAAGCTGTTTACTGTTCATTGCTTAGGCATGCCAGTCAAGCATCCCAGAGATGCTCTCCATTCTTCTTATTTTATAAATTAGGGTGCTGCTTTACAAGGGGGACTAAGACTCTGCATGGCCATGCAAAATCCCTGGTGAAAAGAATTCAAGAGGCACTCACAACAGCATGTGCTTGATAGAATCTGCCAGCCACTCACCCAGGCAGTTCCCAAGTGGGGACAGAGATAGGGTTAGAACATGAAAAGAGGTTAGAACATGAACCCAAGAAGGTGGCTGTCAATTTCCCCTCCAAATTTCCCAGATTCTCCAGGAGATTCTTTCATTATGGAAATGATTCTTTCCATTGCTTTTAGTTTAGTAGACCAGTATCTTTGAACTTTTTTCACTAAAGCAGTCAGTGGCAACTCAATTTAGTCAATACATCAGTGTCAAAATGATTTACTGCCCTTTCTTTTCCCAGAAACTCTGTAGTTACCACACAAACCACAACACTAGCATTCAGGTCCCACCTTCTACTGCTAATGGTGGACCACAGAAATGTGTAAGCAAAAGATAACTAAGAGTACAAACTACTAAAGCAGTGAGCAAAAACTGATGCATCAAGGGGAGAAGGAAAAGGGGCTATATTACTATCCATTCCATCACTATAGCACTTGTGGCAATGACCTCTTTCTGTGTCTATTTCCACTCTCAGAAAGCAGGGACCAAGACTTACTATTCTTTGTACAGCCAGCATCTAGCCAAGAGGTTGGGTTCTAGTAGGATTAAATATTTGTTGAATAAACAAATATACCAGTGCACCTCTCAGAAAAGTATTCAGAGGAGGACATACTAGGAAGAGTTTTTACATATGGAAAGAATATTGCTCCTCCTTCCTTGATATTAGTTATATCAACTACATATGAAGGAAAATTCACTTTTTCTAGACAGGTTCATAGGTACATGAACACGGCTACTAAGTAATTTTCAACTCTGAAATTTAGAAAATGTAGGAAAAATTCTTCCCATGTCTGGGAATATATAAGTAAAATATCTATAACACTGAGTTTTGCTTGGAGTCAGGTACTTCTCATTCCAGAGAAACTGAATACAAAGAAATCTAGGCCTCCTGGTTTCATTCCCAACCCTGGCCAGATAAATGCTCCTCTCTGTAATGGTTTGGAGGAATCACATTCAAATTCCTCGACACTTTGTAGCTGAGTTACAGAGTAACCTGCTAGCAATCCTCTCAGAATTCACAGGGCTGTTGAAATAGAGCAAAGTCCACAAGATTTCCACCGAGATGTGCTGAGCAAAGGCCGGAGCCCCAGAAGAAAACAAGGGTAGACTCTGAGCAAAGCTGCCCTCATCCTGAGCGTGAACTCGCTGGCCCCTGGGGTCTGGGTGACTGGCAATGAGCCCTGTGATGTCAGCATTCATGAGGGAGCTCCCCGGCTTGTTCCTGCTTGCTGGGGTCTTCCTACCTGTGACCTTGCTGCTGCTTCTTCTCATCGCCTACTTCAGGATCAAACTGATGGAGGGTAAGTGTGAAGCCACACCAGGGAGTGGCTTGAAATCCTTTCCCATGGCACACCTTTGCAACTAGCCAATGCACGGTCAGTGTTTCTGGGGGGTGTCTGGGGCAATACATGGTTGTGATCTGTAGGTACTTCTCACTAAGCACTCTCTCCAGATACCTTCATTGGTGAACAGGCAGTGCGATCCTTTCAGCAGCGTGGATCCTGAGTGAGGCTCTACAGGCCTGCGGTGAGGACCCCTTAACTGCAGACCCTCCCCCCACCCCGCCCCAGAGAGTCGAACTGCGAATCAGCCATTTTGACCTGTGATTGCTTATCTCTCTCTCACAGGGCAATATATTCCACAAATGTTAAAACACGTATCATGGTCTGCCTTCTCTGACAGACACCTATGTGCGTCTGACGTGAGTGTGTGCACACACACACTACTTTCTCACCCACGGAACTTCTATTAAGAAAATGTGCCAAACAAACACTTTGTTATCACAGTGTTTGGCAAATGTCAAGCCTTAATAGATAGTTGAGGGCTTGGTGTAAGCTTTTCATGAGTCTTATAGTCTTAAGGAAAAACAAAACAAAACAACTCAGGAGCTCAAAGTGATTTGGACATAGGCAGTGGGGTCCTGGATTGAGAGTGTTTATCCTGCTGTAGTTAAATTAATGAAACTGCACTGTGACTTCACAGACTAAATGTTAATAATGTGCCCAGCAAATATTAGATTAATATTATAAAGGTTAATAGTTATTTTAGCAATAGCAACAGAAACCAGTAATATCTAAGTTGGATGGTGTCATATTAAAGCACTATAAAAACAAATTTGAAAATCATTCCTCTCCCACAAAAACTTGCCAAGTCCAGGCAATGCCTTTATGGATGTCATTCTATAAACAGATATTCAGAATCTCGAATGCAGACTGCCATCATATATGACCTAAAATCAAATAGAAGTACAACGGGGGATAGTCCTTTTTTTTTTTTTAATGGGGGGGTTAAGGGAGAGGGAGAGAAAATCTTAAGTAGGCTCCACGCCCCGTGTAAAGCTTGATGCGGGGCTTGGATCTCACAACCCTGAGATCATGACCTGAACCGAAATCAAGAGTCAGATGCTTAACTGACTGAGCCACTTCTAAGTGGGATACTTCTAAGATGAGATTTAGAACACAAATTCTAGAGGACAGGGAGCACATTATAGAATCATAAGTTTCCAATCATAACATACTCAAATATCCCTTAGCCTTTCATTTTTTTTTCTCATTTTTATGAACAGCTCTCTTGTTGAATGACCCAGCTGTATTGTCTTGCTCTACAGCATTCATGTGATAAACCCTTTTATTAAGTTAGTTTATCCTCCATGGCCTCAAGACCAGTCTACCACCTAGCCATTCATTAACACTGACTGAGTCCTGGAAAAGAGCCTCTGAAAAAGGAAGAGAAAATTAGAAATCCCCAGGATCCTAACTATGGGATTTTAGCCTTCCAAATTGGTTGAATGCCAAGCCATTGCAAACATTTCTATTTTGAAAGTCTTTTAAAGCTGTTGCAATGGCCATTGTCATTCACAGGCGTGCCAGGCCCCCAGTGACACTGAGCACCCTGTGGAGCAGTAACAGGATGCTGTTGTCACAGAGACTTGAATCATTCATGTCACTCCCAAGTTTCATCTCTGGCTGCCTTTTTGGGGAGATAAATGTTTAGTATCTCAAAAATGTATCAAGCCTTTAATGAGGCAAGCAACAGACCAAGATAGCCTCATGGATTCCAAAGTCTCTTACTGCCTCTATTTAAGTTATTATAGGTCAGATCATTCAGCAGGACACCTGGTATTTGGGACAGACTCTTCTTCAAAAAAGGATGAATCTTAGTTTTATAGCCTTACTTATCCCTGGGTGACTTTTGGGGGAAAATATCTGTAATCTGCAAAAATTAAAATTAAATGGGTCTACAGTATTTTGCTTATTTAGATAATGTAGATAATTATGAGGTATAGACATATCAATCACATTCCTTCAGAAGGTCCTGGAGAAGGCAGCCTGCCCTTGAAAGTGTGGCCGGGCATCACAGGGGGCTGATGCAGGACAAAATGCAGGCAATGTGTACACACAGTACCAGGCCCCAAGGACATGCTTAACGTGAGTACCAGGATCATTGCACGGTGACCCCTTCATTCTTTGACACATCCTTGCCCTAGACAATGTAAGTTGTCTAGAGATCAAAGCCTCCATGTTTTGCAACACAGCATATAACCCAAAGGAAAGCGAGAAGGTGAGCCCTATGCAACAAAGGCCAAGGCCCCCCGGGTAGAGTCCTTTCACCAACTTTGAGGCTTGTTCCAAGTGTGCACCATACTTTTGGGTAGGAAGAGTTCTCATGCATTCGTTCAACACATATTTGAGAAGCTACCACATACCAGGGATTGTCCTAGATTCTGGAACAGATTTTTACTATGGGCTTTCAGAACTGAGAGAACAATCCTAGGTCTAGAAAACCACAAAAGGCATCTGGCAAAATTGTTAGAAGTTGGAGGAGAGACATTGCAAATCTGTTTCTGGCTCTGGCCTCATTTAAGGTCTGGTCAATGGCCTGAAGAATGACCTGCCCTTCTCCCTAAGTCTTGTCCCAACATTAGAGCAGAGCACTCCCACCAGAAGCAGAACCCTCCAAACAGCTAAGGGGCCCCCACAATGATGTAATAAGCCTCCACTTTTTGTGGTTCTTCTCCATGGTTCCCTTTTGTTGGCTCTCACTGAAGTGTGCCTGGAGCTTCTGGGCTATAGGTAAGGAGCACAGGAGGAGTGAGTGAGGAGGTGGAAGGAGGCAGCGAAACTCTCTGCATCAGTCACTTAATGCAGTAGGGGTCCCATCTGAGGCTTATTGTTGGAAAGAATACTAATGACTATTAGCACGCTGTTGCCAGCAGCTTGCCAAGGAACCATCTGCAGGATACCAAGGGAGGGAGGACTGCCCTGCTGACTGGACCAAAGCAGGCTTCTCTGTTGTCAAGTTTTCATTCAGTTGAGACTGGGTCCCAAGCGTGGTGGGGTAAGACAATGAGGGCCCTGGGCACTATTCCTCGTAGGTACCTGGCCAGGATAGCAGGTGAGGGGCACCCTGTACTATTACTCTCTCAAGAATTTTCTATTCCAACTGTGCTTTGCTTATCTTTCCCTCTTCTCCCCAATGGGAACTGTGCATCCTTTCTTGGAATAATTCCTGATTACGTTTTCCAGTGTTAGCAGACAACCTTAGCCTAAACATATTTTCATTTTTATGTAGATCTGTTCCCTTTATTTTCCAAATTTTCCTTTAAAAAAAACTTTAAGAACACCTTTAAAGGATAGTTCTTTCTGTGGCTGTTTTCCTAAGTGTAAGTAGTAACATCTTTTCTATAGTTTGAGGGCAATTGAGATCACTTGACCCCAAATAAAATATCACCAGTTTGTATCTTTATTTAGCAGTTCCCACTTAAAAACTGTAACCAGATGGTCAAATGTCATGTCATTAATCTTCCAACCGGGGTTATGGCAAGTGTAATCATTCCAATTTTGTTCCTGTAAAGAAAGGGACATTGACAGATTAACTGGTGTGTTCACAGAACCCCAGAGTCCTACATTCTGAAACAGAAAATCAGCTTGCCTGCTCCATACATCCCAGTTCATCAGCCTAGAGAGGCATTTTAAGATGTGATGGAAAGCATGTGGAGGTACTGTAATCACTCAACATTAATCCCTACACTTGAAGCCTTGGGAGGTAATGGTGCATGTAAATTTAATTAGTATGTAGACAACATCAATTTTCTCACAAAGGAAGAAAGAAAATTCTCTAGCATCCTGCACTCTTCAATCTCTGTCAATTGCCTTGAGGAGTAGCTCTTGAGATGGATGTCTGAATCTTGAACTTTCCATCAGCAAAACCCTTCATCAACTACTCCCATGGACATTTCATACCTTCTGAGTACAAGTTTTGATCATCTTACCTCCCCAACTCCTGAGATTCCTAAACCTCTACTTCCAGTATTACTCTTTGCCCCCCAAATACCATCACCCTGATCAAGGACAAATTGCTCTCTGAATAACCAACACTGCCCAAATAATCATTATGCTAAAAAAAAAATGTCTATTGAATGCCTGAAAGTTTTTGTATGGAGTTAGATCCAAAATAAGGTCCGGTAAGTGATCACATTCTGGCCTTCAGCAACTTAACATTCTAAAACAAACATCTCAAGTAGCAGATGGCTAGACATCTTTCACTGAACTTCATATATATGCTTTAGTAGTCGGCAATCAAAAGGGAAAAAGATAAGTATTTGGAAAAAATCAGAATAATTTAAGCGTTATTAAGAGTAAAATTGTTAAGAGCTCAGACTATGGAATCAAACCAAACGGGGTTTGAATTCCCAATGTCACAATGGCTACCCAACCTCTTGAAGATCAGTTTTCTTCATCTGTAAAATAGAATAATAGCAGGAAATAGCTATAAGGTTGGTATGGGGATTAAATGAGGTGATACATACAAGGTTCTTAACAATGCCTATTCCAAAAACTATTAGTTGTTATTATCCCTGCTAACTTATAAATTCCAAGAAGCCGTGTTTTGTCATTATAATAATAGCTATTATTAAAATTACCTTGTAACAATTAAGTAAATTGCCCAAATCACTCACCTGGAAAGTGGTAGAGACAGGAATTGAACCCTGGCCAGCCAGCTCCAGAGCTAGCCTTCTCAGCCAGCACACAACTCCTGGAGTATTGAACACAGACGACATATTCAATAGATATCTGTTAAATGGATGAATCCTTTTGGCCCAGGCAAACAAACTTACCACAAACAAGGAAGGCAACTGTGGGAGAATTTTAAACAAGGCAAGGATTTTATGAAAGCTTTGAGAGGCTTTCATCTCTTCATGTAACAGGGGTAAGTATTTCTGACGGTGATTCCTTAGCATGAAGACGTCACCCTGAGTCAAAGAGGCTGCATTTCTTCACCTGTGGCCCAAGAGGAGAACTTCATGGCCTGCAGAATGTCCACAATACCAAACTCAGGTGTTTTCAAGGCCACCTGCCAGTCTCACCTGTCTAGTACCTCTCAGCACGCACCTTAATAGGCCGATGAAGTAAAGCGATAGCCAGGTGCAAGCTCCTTCAGGAGAAAGGTGAATTATCACTCTTGTTCTCTGTACCTTGCACCAGACACCATGTACTGCAGAGCTAACTCCTTGTGGATTGATGAGCTTCCTCTTGGTCTCTCTGTTCTGCTTCTCCACTCCTACTAGAGTTCTCTTCCTTCAATCCCATTACTCAGGTCACCAATTTTCAGTTCTACAATTTGTATTCTGGTTCCTCATTCAAAGCACTCGTCGTGTAGTTAGTCTTCGTTAATGAAGACTAAAAGGGAAGAAATTACTCACATTTCAATGAGTTTATTATCTAAGCCAGGGGCCATCTCAAGCAACACCTTTGAACTAGCAATCATCTAATGGACAGGCAGTGTAACCGAGTGGTTGAGAGTGTGGGCTCTGGAATCAGACTGCCTAGGATGGAATCCTGAATCCATCCATTTCTGGGATCGTAGGCAAATTGCTTCCTCTTGATTTCTCCCTGCCTCAGTTTGCTCATCTGTAAAGTAAGACTAACAAGGATGACTACAGCATAACGCCATTGCAAGAATTAAATGTGATAAGACATGCAAAGGGATTTACACAGTGGCTGGCACATAACAAGTACTCAATAAATATTAGCTATTAAATCTTGAGGCTCATTTAGCCCATGGCTTGTCACCATCCAATGCATATGTAACACCTGCTGACTATGATGGCAAGCCGTTGTGGAGGCCTAGAACTCAGGTCAAGGAGAGTGCATGTGTCCTGGGGTACATCGCATATAAAGTGCCTGGCAAGGGGTAAATTGCTTGGATTTGATATAGCAGCCAAAGGGAAGATTTCCAGGCTCAAGTCTATAAACATGTACTACCTCCCATAAGATTATAAGCTTCTGATCTTTGGTTTTAGATGATATGAATAATTATAATTCTGAAAATACAATTTTAAGAGTAAAAACAGATTCAGTGGTGTGTGTTGGTGGTGGTTAGGAAGAGAGATGTATTTCTTTTTGATGTACCAGGAAGATCCCAGATCCCAAAGGATACTTGTTGGGATCTCAAGGGAAATCTCAGGGCTAAAGATCAAATGTGTTATTGCCAGCAAGGTAATAGTTGAACCTACAGGAGCAGAGAAGAAGACACAGAATGATGGTATATAATAAAAGCCAAAGGGAGGAAAATAACTGGATCGTGGTGGGGCTTGTGTCAGATGTTCCAGGGAAGGAAGCTGGGGGTCGAAAAATGCCACTAGATTTCACAAATAGGATATCATTGATGAGCTTTAATAGTTCAGTAGAGTAGCTTTAACTGAGGTCATATTTTAAGGGGTTAGGGAATGTGCAGGTGGTAAAAAGTTGAAACTGTCAGTTTTCAGTAAAGGATGTCAAAATGTAAAAGAGAGAAGACTAGTTTGACATATCTAAGGACTAAATGCCCAACACATTTTTGGGGGCAGGGAGGGTCAGAGACAGAAACTCTATCTTACTCATTTCTACATCCCCGCCCCCGGCCTACAGACATTGCTTTATCAATGCTTATTGAATGAGGGAGTCTTAATACATTTAATCAACACTTAATCTGCTAAATATTAAGTATACTTAGCTACACTTAGCATGTAACAATTATTACAGTGGTAATTTGTCCACTACAATGGGGTCCATTCTTTCAAAATAAGCATTTCATTTCTGTTGGAAGTGGTTGGGGAGGTGAGGGGAGACCCTGCAACGGCCTTGCTCTGGGGACCTGGCCTTGAGTAACTTGCAGAAATGCTGGCCAACACCCATGCATGGGTTGTACATGACCAGTGGCAGGCACTTAGCTGCTTCCAAAGTACTAACTGATAATTTTCCTTTCAGTTAACGAAGAACTGTCGCAGAACCCCCATCACCAGCAGAAACGCAAACCTGGCTCTTACCTATACCAGCGGACGAAAAGAACGTGACTTGGGGACTGATCCATGGCTAAAGCGCAGCGAATTTCTACTGGTCAGAGAGCAACGGTCAATGGCTTAGCTAATGAAATAAGTTCATAAATTCAAACAACAGCACAAATGGAATACTGAAAAGCTTGTTCTGAACCACTTTGCAAAGTGGCAGCTATTACCCAGGGGTACATCTACGAGACTCAGTTAAATAGCAGTTCGTTGGAGAGTACCAAGAATATAAGATTCTCTTGGATGTGCACTATGGACTGGACGCTTGGCAACTTTTTAACTTTTATAGGACTCTGTCTACTCTGAAGGACACTATTTTTTTAAGTAAAATTCTTAAGTATCCTTATTACATAATCCCATGGAAGTGTACATCATTCTGATTTTATAGATGAAGAAATTCTGGTAGAGAGCAAACGGAGAGCAAAAGACAAGTGCCTTGAGAGCACTGTGGATTCCCTCTGCGAGAGCATTCCTACTTCCTCCACCTGCCGCACGGCAACTCTAAAATGGCGCCCTTCCAGGCATCACTTCCGGCCCTGAGTTTGCTTCTCTCCCTTTCCCAGCTACCTTCACAAATCACACCACCCTTGCGATGACCCACAGAACAAGTGGAGTCTCTCCATACTAGATATGGATCACCCATGAAGGCAGCTTTCGTGCAAGCAATGGCTTGGGAATACTGGCAATTTGCTGGTGGGCAAAGGGAAGAAGAGGGCATTCATGTAACTCAGACGGAGAATAGCTCAAGCGTTTGCCTCTAAAACCAAAACATCAGGGAGCTATTTCTCAATACGGAAAGAAGTCAACATTTCACTAGCAAAATTCTTTTCTCAGTGGGAGCCCCAAGGAGCCAACATAGATAACCAAAAAGAAACACTTAATCCAAAGTGGTCATTAAAGTAGATTGAGTACTCTTGTGCTTGCCACAGTTTTCTAGTTAAGACCAACAAAAGATGCTTCCCATGTCCTAAGTGGGAGTCTGGTTATATTTCAATCTTTGCATGTGAATCTAACAAGCTATTAGAGTGATTAACTTTATAAAACGTACTGAGTTTGGTCACCTGTAAGAAATGCACCAACTTTTGTAGTGACATACAATCTTACGAAAGATGGTGTGAACGACCAAAAGCAGGGACGGACCACTGGTGCTGGGTATTTTCTTGGCTACCCCTCGCCCCACTTCAAATTCTTCACATACGTCCAGAGACATTAGTCCCCATTTGCCCCTGTTGATAATGTAAAACTCAGTGTTTGAAGACACTCATTCTGTTTTATTGCATTTGATTACAATGGGAACTGTCTGCTGGGGCTTTCAGACCGAGGTAATTTAAAATAACAGCGTTCGTGCCATATGGAAGGAATAATAATATTCTATCAGTTCTAGGAGGGATCTCTTTTTAGCCCCCGACGGAAATCAGCTTATGTAAAAATGCTTTCTTTAACAGAAGGCGTGAAAGGATGCATCGTATTCCCAGCTGCCAGCCAAATCTGTGGTTTGGCCACCAGGGTTGGCTCCACCTTCTTCTGGAAAGACGGGAGCCTGGCTTTTGGTTCTGGTGGAGGCAAGCCCACCATCTCTTCCTGCCCAGGGAAAATGCATCCCAGCTACTGTGATAACGGATGAGCTCCCAACACGTGTTTTCAGCGATAGACATAACCAAGGAGTTTAAAGCAAGACCCATTTCTTTTGTTGCTGTTGAGAATAATTTCCAGTGAAGTCCTGAGCAGATTTGTGGCTTTTATGTGTAAAGAGAAACAGAAACATGTTTTCCCATGGAAAGACCAAGTCCCAAGGGTTTTGCTACAATCTGCTTGAAGGCACGGCTACTCAAATTGTCAAGTCCTTCCCAGAGCACCGCCAGTCAGTCAGCTACACTTGCTCTTCAGATGTTCACAGCCCAGTTTAAGATCTTCTTCCGGCTTGGGTTGCTTTGGCTCGTCTGCATGGCTCCTAGACCAGGTGGCAGCCTCCTTACATTATCCTCTACTCTGCTCCACCCTGTGTTCCAAAAGCCTCTCACCAGGGGCCCCAAATGCACACACAACCCCACAGGGTCTCACAAGGGCTCCTAATCTTATTTCTAATGTTCTAGTACCTGAAAGAATTCCCACCTGTTTCCCCAACCCAAGACCTTCGACAAAATAATGCTCTTGTTATGTTGCCAGGTATTCAGTGAAAATTCACCAAAGAATTTTTTTTTCTTCTTTTTTACAGAGCTAAATAAAGCTGTTAATACTAACTTCCCACCTCTCTTGTTAACGGTGCTGGGAAACCGCAATCCATGACCTATATACAAGTTGGCCAAACGGAAAATGGGGCAAAAAAGGACACACGTTATGTTCCCCGAAATGTTATTCCCAACCCTTAAAGAGCAAACTTACTTATAATTAATTCGATCAGGTAATAGCCTCTAGTATTTTCTAGAATTTAGTAGCAATTAGAAAATCAAGAACAGATAAACACTCCCATACACCAAAAACAACTTTTCCTTGAAATCTTAAGCTCCTTGGCAACGTTGTGTCTCAGAAATCAGAATTCACAGCTATTAAAACACATTCTGGAAATTAATTTTCTGACTTGTTTAGAAACAGAATTTTTAGAACAAATACTCTTGAGATTCTTGCTTTCTGACTTTATAATTAGTGTGCTAATCAGAAGAGACCTCTGAATTTATCAGAATTTACACAATGGTATTTACCCTGGCAAATGAGTGACAAACAACAGAACAGAAAACATGCATTCAAAACATTTTATTTAAAATTACCACCAAACATACTGGAAATTTAAAAATGCCTTCCACTGTTGTTTTTTTTCAGTATTCAAACCCACATTCCCAAACCCAGATTAAGAGCAGAGATTCCTAACTTTTATTTAGATAATAAAGAAGGCTTTTGAGAATTTGACGAAAGCCAGGAATTTATTCCTAAGAAACATGCATACACCCACAATTCTGCATATATTTGGGGAAAGTTCAGACCCTTGAAATCCATCCAGGAGTCTGTGGTTAGGAAGCCTGCAGCTAGAGTCTCCGAGTATTGGTGCTGCCTCCACATGGTGGACGATGTGTAGACCGTAAGAGGTCCCTGATGTGGGGTTCTCAGGGAAGTGAGGTCCACGTACCTCCAAAGCCAAAACCTTTTCAACAGACTTCCCAAGTAACCCTAGAATAGCACAGAATTCTACAAGGGAAAGCCCTCAGCACAGCTCAGAATGGCATGATCTTCCATAAATTTGCCAGTGGTGGATCACCTCACGCACAGTGCTGTTATTACTCACGATGCCTGCCATGTTTGGAGGGTTATTACTGTGCTAGGAGCTCTGCTAGGCACTGTACACATTTTTATCAGAATATCCCTGCACTGAGATGTAGAAGTACCCTCACTTTAAATGCTTTCATTAAAGTCACATGGTTCAGTTACTCTGAGTGGGGGGACTCAAAGGTCCATCTGCAGGGTTCTGAGACCTTTGTATTCGAAGCAAAGTATCATTTTATACAACTGGGGCTGCTATAAATCTAAGCTAGCACCATAACTATACACAGGGTCGGTGTCTGACCCTGTGGCCAAGGGTCAGGAGCGCAGCACCTAGGATTTGCCAGCTGACCATGTTTTCTTCTGGAGCCGGTGCTACACCACAGCCTGATCCCAGCAAATACATGAATGGGTGCATGCAAGAATCCATCCAAGTCCAGGCTGGCTTCTGTGAAACTAATCAAGGTATATTCCCTCCTGTTACTGTCTCAGCAGTAACATTCAAGTGTCCCAGTTTCTCGTGCAAGCACGGAAGACAGGTGGAAACTGACCAGAGCGCCATGCAAAGAAAAACGATGTATTCTTCTCTAACAATACATGGAGGAAGGGCGTTAAAAAAAAAAAATATGGGGCTTAAGGGTATTTTTTTAGCCTTTTATTTTTTAAAGATTTATTTGACAGAGTGACAGCCAGAGAGGGAACACAAGCAGGGGGAGTGGATGAGGAAGAAGCAGGCTCCCCGTGGCGGAGCAGGGAGCCCAATGCGGGGCTCGATCCCAGGACCCTGGGATCATGACCTGAGCCGAAGGCAGACGCTTAACGACTGAGCCACCCAGGCGCCCTTTTCAGCCTTTTATTTAGGAATATTTTAACAGGATGATATAATAAACCCTTATTTACCATCACCTGGCTTTAGCAATTACCCACTAACGGCCAATCTTATTTCATCTGAACCACAACTCACTCCTCCCTGCCTATAATTGAATCTCAATTATGTTTTCAGATATCAAATAATTTTGTGCATAAATAAGGGGGAATACTTAATGAAGTCCATGTTGGGCAGTGGTTATGGCTACAGTCTGCTTCATTGCTGGAGTCCTGGTAATAGTCATTCCACGAACTGTGGGTCTATGCAATGAATAATGCAATGTACAATGTATCATAAAACAGAAGCTCATGACAGTGAAATACCAAACATCTACCAACTCTACATATTTTAAAAATAACCTCATTTTTTATCCAGCTGTGGCCTGTGGAAAACGCACTGCTATTTCCTGCATTCCACACAGGATTGCTTATAAGGCTTATGTATAATGTTACCTGTAAAACCCCATGCAACTAAAAGGAATTATCGCAAGGAATTATTGCTTATCACCTCAAAATTATATGGCTTTTAAGATAAACAATTATACCCAGACATCTCTCACCTCAGTGAACACTGTTGACCTATTTCTTATTCTATCATTTGGGGTTTTGAAAGCTCAGTTTACAGAACAAGCTAATACCCTGGGAAATATTTTCTAAGAACTACAAAATATTCAGAACAGCAGCCTTGCTGCTCCAGCTACACATGGCATGACTTATCAGCACTGTTCCCAGCTGCTCTTTGGGTCCTAAGCCCCACAGATGCTCTAGGTGTCTCCAGGACCCCAAGACCTGTCTTTGCTATCTCAGCTGAATGAAACTGAGCCCTAATCAAACACAGCATTTCCTATTCACTGGGAGCTGCCGTGGACACTTCCTATCAGGGCAATTATCAAAGGATGGACGGATCTGGTTCTCAAAGAACTCTTGGTAAACCCAACCTCTGCTTTAAATATGAATGCTATCCATACAAGCTTTCTGATGAGAAATAGATTCACAGAACCACATTTGGCCCCCTAATGTCACTAAGGCTTGGCTTGCGGAGATCGGCTTCTCCAAAGAGGAGTGGTTTCTGTAATAATTCTGCAGGAAGTGAGAAAGACCTCTCACAAGGCGAGAGATAATTCAGTGGGAACAGATCCCAAAGAAGACAGTCATGTAAATTGTATTTAACATGCTCACTTGAAAGGACTAGAGAAATTCTACATAACATTTTAAAACAGAATAGACCCTGTTGGTCATTTGCCGCGTAATGTTTTCAATGTGTAGAAGAAAATGGAGCACTTAATCCGATGTGCCTTGGCAAAAGCTTCATAATAAACCACTGCAATTAGATACGGACGCGGCCCCCTGGCAGAACCCATTCTGCTTATTGTTAAGGCCCACCGGACAGTAGAGCAAAACATGAAGCAGAGGAGGGTTCAGATGGTGGAACTAAAATATTTTCTGAAAACAAAACAAAAAATACACAAAGAAAACAAGTGGAATTTTCCGTTGGAGAATCTGCAAGGCGGTGGTGGGCTGTGTACACAGGCTGGAGGAATCTGGCATTCTAAGCAATGGATTTCCAAACCTTCAATGCTGCCTTAGCCATTTCGCATTGGTGGTGCAGGCAGCAGGAGCAAATTATAAAAGATTGGAATAACAGATTCTAAAAAATGCTGCATTTCACCACGTAGTTAAGACTTTTGCCCGAAAATATCATTCGTTTGTTTTTTAAACCTTTATAAAAAAGAGAAGCAACAAGTTTAGAGAATAAACACACTTTATTTTATAACAGTATTACAGAAAGCAAAATATCATTTAATACAACTTGAAGCTGCTATAAATCTAATCTGGCATCATAACTATACATAGGGTCAAAAGCAAAGGAAAACATGTTCAATACCGTTAATAGGTCCCTATCAGGTCTCTGGTGTCAGCTGTAAATGGTATCGCTTCCTTACAACCGTCAAAAAACCCCCACCACAGCCCCTGCTCTTCTCCCCAGTGTCCTCAAACCTGTGTGAATCATCCAACTATCTGAAAGAGATATACCTGCTCAGTAACAAAAGGTCAGTTTTAGAAGTAGACAGGGAAGTTTAATACAAAGCAAGTGTTCTACACAAAGTGTTCAAATAATGGAAAGTCTTGAAATTTGGACATGTTAAGAAAGAAAGCACTAAGGTTTTAAGCTGCCTGAATTTTTAGTAGAAGGGAAGAAACAGTTTCTCTTTTTCCTCCCTCCTGGTTCTGGAATGCTGCTGAAGAGCATGTGTCTGAGAAGCACTGGCACTGTGGCGTGACAGGGTCTCGAAACACAGTGCGTGGTCAGTGAGCTTCTTTGTAATTCTCCAGTCCGGAGCATCTCTGACTTTCAGTAAAAAGTCAGAGGACTGGAAAGTCAAAAAGGGTCCAATATAAAAAACAGCCTCGATGAAACTCTCAAACATTAGAAAATTTTCAGGATGTAAGAAATGCTTTTGATCTGTATTAATATTTTCTCATACAGTATATTTACTGCAATCTGAAAACTCCGTAAATATTTACTGTAAGGATTCAATGGGAAGGATCTGGAAGACAGGAAAGCCACTATCGGAAATTAGTCACAGAGTTTCCTTTCCGCACAACAGCACCTGTTCAAGTGAACAGCACCTTACCAGCGTGGGGCTGGCTTTGTTCACTATCATTTGATCAAAATGAGTGATAAAAAGCAGGTAGTTGTACACAAAGTAAACAGGAAACAAAAACAAAACTCCCTAATTAAAAAAAAAAAAAGAAAGAGTCAAGAATATTTAGAAGTGGTTATAAAACAAAATAATGTATTAAAATGCAAGGGAACGGTATAGACCAGAGCTGTTAAGGTAAGGTTTGGTTGTTGGCATTTTAATTCTTCAGGCTTCTGGTCATTGTTACCAGTCGTAGTATAAATTCGCTGGAGTAGTGGTGTGGCATTAAGACTTGGAATGGTCAAAATTCTTCAGGTTCACAAAGTTGAGTGTTGTTTAAAAAATGGAATTTCTAGGAAGAAAAAAGAGAGAAAAGACTTAAATATTCCAAAGACAGAGGCTTGAAAAACCATGTTAAGTAATGTGCCATCTAATTCCAAATCAAATAACCAACAGTTACAATTTGCCTAGCTCTACAGTAAATAGCATGTTGACCAGAAGACAAGCACGAAAGTCTGTGCCACCCGCGGGGGCCTTACGGTATGTGGAGAACTGACAAGCACATAGAAACAGCTGGCAAATAAGAATAGACGCACACACAAAAAGAGTTAATTATAAAACAGAGGTAACTCATTCATTAACAATCCAAAACAGAGAAACCAATGTAGGCTTTAACATTAGATTCAAGGAAGGTGGAAAAACAAAGTCCATTCTGACTTCTTTGAAACGAATGGAAAAGGGGCTGCAGGTGAGGAGAAGAGAATGGGGCAAGCGGCCAGGAAGTGAGACAGCGGATGGCGGTAGTGGGCGTATGCAGAGCATGGGGGCAGGCAGCAAGAAGGAGTGAGGAACAGGACAGTGAGGAAATGGACATCACTGGAGAGAATAATAGGGTGAGGGATGGAAGGGCGCGTACTCTTTAATACCAGACTGACGGGTACAAACTTGATCGAACAGACAAAAAAGGGACTGAAGTCAGAAAGAACACTCAGACAAAAGACCAGCTGTCAGTTTACTGCTATGATCCGGAAGCAGAGTGCAAGGGGCAGAAGACAGGTCAGAGAGCCCAGGGGGTGAGTCCACACAGCGCATGACAAGCCCAGGAGAGGGGGAGGCTGGTCTTGAGGAGGGCTTGACATGGCCTGGTTTATGTTCTGAAAACATCACTGCAGCTTGGGTCTGATGAAGAGGCTAAGGGTGGGGAGCAGAGAGACAGGAAGGCCGGGGAGAATGGCGAGGTGGAGAGGACTGACTGGAGTGAAGGGTGGGCGGAGAGGTCCCTGTAGGAGAGCAGTCAGAGGGCGGTGGCGAGCAACAAAGTACCAGGGAGCACAGCCAGGTTTGGGGTCTGGGCCCTCAGAACGGGCGTAAAGCCCAGGTGAGGTCCTAGGACCAGGGCCGTGGATTTGCAGGCTGGTGCAGAGGGCAAGTGAAACTCACAGGTGAACCAGTCTTTGTAGGTATAAGGAAAAATGAGAGATGTGAGCCCCGGGGAAGCCCACCAGCGGAGGGAGGGAGCGGGGGGGCGGGGAGGACTAAAATGGGAGTGGACAGGGAGGCAGAGAAAAAAATAAGGATGGTGCATTATTCCCGACAGAGAAAAGGGTTTTGAGAAGGTAATTTTTCACTTTTTAGTTGAAGTTTTGGCAAATGGTAGGTGATTACAGAGGATAATGGAGAGTGGTAATTAAGGTCCTTTCTAAGAGACACCGGCCCCAAAGTCAATCAGAATACACATTCTTTTGGTTAGATAAAATTAAGTCTTGTTTTCATAGAAAAACTCTCCACCGTTGAGATTTATCACAGGTATTACTTTAGCCTCTTCATTATACAGGACAGATTGATTAATCAAATTCATTGTCTCCCTCCTGTTGTCTGCTTTAGGCTATTTCATTACTCATTAGGACTTCTGCTTGATTCTAGACGTGGGAGGGGGGAATCAATGGAGAAAACACAAAGTCCTCTTTTTTTTTTTAGGCTAGTAATTATGAACAGAAACTTGGGGGATGGTGATCGGGAATGGATCAAACTACCAATCAAACTGGATTTGGGAGTTGGCTGCGACCTCAGTCACGGGATCTATTCTTGCTCTTTGGGAGCTGGTTCTCTGTTCTCTTTACTCAGGGAATATGCATCATTTGTTGAACAGAGCTATCACTTCCGCCCAGCTTCTGTTATAGAAAAGGAACCTCTCATGTTACCAGTGCCTGGAAACCCAGAGAAAGGATGAGGTTGAGGATCCTATCCTCCATTTCCTCTAGACTCCATGTCGTGTTATTTCACTGAACCTGCTTTCACCAAAAATAAAAATTTCAATTTAGAAAGGAAAGCTAAAATTAAACTTGTTTCCAAGTCATTAGCAGACAAGTAAACAGGAATTAGGAGTGTGTAGGAACTGAATGAGAGATCTTGATTTCAAAGAGCTTCAACATTTATTGAAATATATGTGGAGAAAAAGACAGTTACCCATGTAAACTCAAATGTCATTTACTTTCATTTATTCGCAATCAAACCACTAGAAAGAAAGAAACCAATTTCCTTTCCTGGTAATAAGTATTACAGATGACAATCTTAACACACTCTTAGAATTCCAAACAGTTTTCAGAGAGAAAGAAAATTACATTTATTGTAATTTTAATGTTAAGTGCATTTCCCCCCCCTCATTCAAGTGCATTTTTTCCTCGTTCTTTAAGAAGCAGTAAATCAAGTGTAACTCTGAGCTAATTAGATATTCAGTATTTCAGAACATCCCAATTCCTCATGTTCTGGATGAACAGGGAATAATTTATTGTAGGAAGTTTATAATTGACACATCCACCTCTCTTCTGACTGCTTTCTGTACTAAAACACGTACAGAAATATATTCCTGCAAGTAGTAAACATCTAAGCTTTTGAGCCAGGAAGGAGAAAAGATAAGAACGGAACCACCAATTCCATTGGTACACAACCATCAGACATTTATATTTTTCCTGTTCTGGCATTTATCTGTGAGGAAAACAAAAACAAAAACAACCCAAAACCTTCATATTTGGTTTTTTTTTTTTTTTAAAGATTTTATTTATTTGACAGAGAGAGACACAGAGACAGAGGGAACACAAGCAGGGGGAGTGGGAGAGGGAGAAGCAGGCTTCCCGCTGAACAGAGCGCCCGATGTGGGGCTCGATCCCAGGACCCCGGGATCATGACCTGAGCCGAAGGCAGACGCTTAATGACTGAGCCACCCAGGTGCCCATGGCTTTTTTTTTTTTTTTTTAAACAGATTACATTTTGGGTCTAAATGATTTATCACCCATTCCAATCAAACTGAAGACTATGCACTGGTTCTTCATGTAAGACCTTCATGCAAGAACTTTTTTTTTTTTTTTTTAAGCCTGAATTCTACCTCATATTCACTATAGTCTGGACATCTTATTTTGTCATTACAAACGGGCAGGCAGTATTATTTACTACTGGCTTTTTCCTTTGGGTGACATCATAATGTTCACATAATGTTCACCTTGAGTTTGGATAAGATCACAGCTGTGAAGTATATGGATTATACGTTAGATATTAGAATTTTGGTCAAGTAAACAATAACAGAAACCCAAACCACTGTTTCCATGCTTCAGTCTCCCTCCCCTAGACTATACAATGTCAGTGAACATTTCTAACTCCTATAGCTCCATTCCTTAGCCTCTGTCCCCCTCTTTTGGCCAATGTGGGAATAGGCCCGTGTGGTGGTATCATCCAATGCCTGCTCTAACTCTAGACCTAAATTCCTCAAGGACGTGTGCCCTTGCCTACTTTGCCTTAAGTCCTCACAGAGGGTTCCAGAACACTCAAATTTATCTTAGTGTGCCCAAGGAGCAGCGGGCAATCAGTCACATTCAAGGACAGAGGTTCTATGACTTTGGAAAACACAGCTTCAGAGTTTCCAGAGACAGGGGCTTGTAGTGTGGGGCTCAAACTTGAGCGTGCTCTTCTCCAGAAACTGATTCAGTAAAATGCAAATGTGCACTCATAAAAAAGCATTTGACCCAAACCACTAGAAATACTGCCTGTAAGTGGGAAAGCACTTATCCACAGGGATCTCAATAAAAATGCAAAAATGTGGTTTTTATCGAAAAATAATTAAACTAATGCAAGAAACCATAACATTTGTCCTTGGATTAAGATTCAATTACTGTAGGGCAGCAGTATAGCCAGAGATCTTGAAAATATGAATAAAATATTCATGTGAGAGACAATCCAACTCTTTCCTAAATAAAAATGAGGTCCATGCACTCAAGTGTTCAGTTTTAAATATAATAGTTGATCGTTATGGACGTCAGTTATTCCTAATGCTAAACTTTCTTCCTTGGGTCTCCAATTTGCATATTTGATTTTCATTTTTTAAATACTTTCCACTGTAAGATAGGAGTCCTAGAGCCAAAAATGCAAGTAGGATAAATCTCTATTTGGGGGGCGCCTGGGTGGCTCAGTCGGTTAAGTGTCTGCCTTCTGATCAGGTCATGGTCCTGGGGTCCTGGGATCAAGCCCTACATCTGGCTTCCATGCTCAGTGGGGAGCCTGCTTCTCCCTCTGCCCCTCCCCCTGCTCATGCACGCACACACGCTCTCTTTCAAATAAATAAAATCTTTAAAAATAATTTCGACTTGGTTAACCCAGGAAAGTCCATTCTTAGTGTTCGGAGCACCACTACAATATAGATCCACCAGTTCTCAGTGAGTTCTGCCGACCCTGAGGGTCACTCAGACTCTTTTCAAGGGGTTGCGAAGTCAAAGCTATTAAAAAAAAAAAAAAAAAAAAAAGGATTTCATAATCACACGAAGACGTTAACCGCCCTTTTCAGGGGGTGGACATTTTCACCAAGAGTGCGACAAGGGGGAGTACACCCGTTGGCATCTTGCCGCAGGTCACGGCAGTGGCACCAAATTGTACCAGAAGTCACTGGACTCATTACCACCACACGCTCTCAGTGAAATAAGAAACAAAGAAGGCAAGCCAGCCTCACTTAAGGATGTCCTGGATAAAACACAGAAAATTACTGTCTTACATCTCAACCGCTGAGTTCGTGTCTTTTTAACATTCTGTGTAATGAAAATGGAAAATGGGCACAGATTACTCCTGCTGCATACAGAAGTACAATGGACGTCCAGAGAAAAAAAAAGAATGCTTGAATTGTGAATTGAAGCAGCTGCCTTTTCACAAATACCTTTTTTATTTGAGAATTATTGACGGACAAACTGTTACTCTATTTGGCAGGAATTTCTTGAAAATGAGGTGAGCCTGTCATTTCAAGGAAAACAATTGACAATATACTTGTGGCCAGTGATAAAATTCAAGCTTTCAGGTGAAAATTGGAATTTTGGA